TATGGTAAAGGTCCATTATCGTGCATTATTACCCCCCAGATTTAATGTTTTTATATATACTTTTTACTTTTATTATACCTACATTTTTATTTTCATTATCAGCAATTACTTAATATTCATTGGTAAAAATCATGCTAGATTCTAGCATGTACCAAACTCTAACAGTAAAAGCCCGAAAAATGTCTCAACTCATGTTGGTAAATCCTAAGATTTAAAAGAAAAGATTTACCCAAATACAGACTTTTACGGTAACATAATACATATTACTTGTATGCACTCTGCTCCTAATATATCTTCTCCGCTGAACCTAGAGGTATACTGGTAGAGAATGCCTTGTGGCATTATATCTAACTTTTTGTATGGGCTTGTTATACAAATAAAGTTTTAATAATACATATACATACATAAACACTCACGCCTGTCACCCAGAGGAGTAGGCAGAGATTATGGACTTCCATTTGGCACGATCCTGACACACCTCTCTCGCTTCCTCCACATCCATATACCTACGCATACACGCTCGTCGGTTAAAGGTACTCTTGATTTGGCCCATTTTTAATATATCGCCAATGTGGTCGATAAACTTTCGCCTAGGGCGACCCTTCCCGACTATGCTGTTCACCTCTGCAACATAAAATTTGCTTTGTCACTCTTTTCTCATTCATTCTTTTTACATGGCCAAACCACCGAAGCATTCCTTTCTTAATCCTGGTCACAACATCATCTTGCAAACCACACTCTTCTCTTATTAAACAATTTCTCACTCTGTCATTCAGGTTCATCCCTAACATACTCCTTAATGGCCGCATTTCTACAGTATTTATTCTACTCTCATGCTTCTTCTGCCACACCCAACTTTCACTACCATACATTAAAGTAGGTACTAACACAGCATTGTGAATTGCCATACGTGCCTTTTTGGACACATTCTGACTTTTCACAATAGAGTGTAGAGCCCCATTCACTCTATTTCCTGCATTCACTCGTCGTTCTATATCCTTATCATATCTACCATCCCTGCTAAACACACATCCCAAATATACAAACTCATCTACTTGCTCTACCAACTCCTCTTCTATTCTTATTTCACATATCGTTTTACTTTCTTCTCTTTCAAAAACCATAACTTTCGTCTTACTTGCGTTCACTTTCATTCCCTTTTCTTTTAATGTCCTGTTCATTAATGAAACCATCATTTGCAACTCGGCTGCCGACGATGCAAGTATGACTTGATCATCGGCGTACAAAAGGCATTTGACGGTTAACTCACCCATTCTTAACCCACATTCTTCTACTTTCAAATTTTCCAAACAACTGCCCATAAATAGGTTGAACAACCACGGGGAAGCCACACAGCCCTGTCTGACACCTTTATGGATGCCAAACCAGTCCGAATAGGCCCCGTTGATCCTGACACAAGCACTAGAGTCCCTATATAGAGACTTCAATGCCTGTATCAGACCAGCGGTCAACCCAAATGAGTTCAGTGTTTGCCATAACACATCCCTGTCCACTCTGTCATAAGCCTTCTCCAAGTCTATAAATAAAAAATAAAATAAAATAAAAATAATTTATTTCGGACAACAAGATCCATAGAATTTGTTAGTAAAGAAAAACTTACATCTATGTTAGTAATATAATTTATACTCAATACTTAATTATTAAACAGGACATAGTCCTGGCGATCATTTGTTTAATCAGTGGACAGTCCCCACTGTCTGCAATCTCACTCAGCACACTGTGGCCGCTGCCGCGCACTCTGTTTAGCAAGGATGCGGTCTTTTTTCTGATTATTGCATCAAAGCTATCCACACCCGCCAGTGCAAACATCGCAGACGCGCTACAGTAGCGCGGCAGCCGCAACAGCGCCCTAAATGCATTATTGTATTGAGTACGTAGGGCACTATAGGCCTTTTTGGTGTAGTTGGTCCATAGGCTGCAAGAATAAAATGACGTACAATATGCTTTGAAAAGCGTGATCTTTACAGCGTCAGTGCAGCGACCAAATCTATGCACCAACATATTCGCCCTGACCGACAGTGCCCTACGTTCTCTTTCAATGTCTTCATCGTCTTTAAGACTGTCAGTCAAAATATGTCCAAGATATTTAAAACTATAGACCCTTTCTAGTGGTTCGTTATAGAGCTTTATAGGGGGTACAACACTAGGACATCTACTGCCAGCCTTAAACACCATGAACTGTGACTTTTTGGTATTGTATTGTAAACCATGTGAGACAGCAAACTTTTCGCAAACACCGAGTAAAGCTCTCAGCGCACTAACTGAGGGTGCCAGCAGTCTATGAATCTATGAACGCAAAAAAATCTTTTTGGTTTTTGGCCAAAAACTTCTCCGCGATCATGCGCATGGAAAAGACCTGATCCGTACATCCCATTCTCTTTCTAAATCCCGCTTGCACATCCCAAATTTTTCCATCAGTTTCTTTTATAACTCTTTCAATTAGTACCTTAGCATACAGTTTTCCCACAATAAAGTTTTAAGTTTTAAGGTAAGTAGTCTAACGCGGCGTTGAGTTGGAATTCCTATTTTTTTTAATAATATATCCAATCCCGGATAAATGATTTGCAGGTCATACAAACACTTTCAGTTTTAAGGCCAAAAGACCGATATGTATTTTTTACCAAATGTCCCAAAACAATGATCTGTTGTAGCCAGTAACTAGGTACTTGAAGACTTTACTTTAAAGCTAGAATTGCAAAAGCTATTATTTAATTTAACAGTTTTTTTTTCGATTAACAGGTAAAAAAATAACAATTTTTTCGGATATGATGGCTTCTTTACTAAATGTAATTTTTGTAGGCGAACATTTGTAAAAGAAACAAGCAATTTTTACGAAATTAAAAAGTTAATGAAGCAATATTTCATTTTATGCGAGCAATTAAGATGTGAATTTAGGACTGACCAAAGAGATAAATTTCACTAATGTCTACAGTTTTATTTATTTAATAATGAAGACTGGTTTCTTGGGGTAGAATGCTGAGGAAAGAACTAACAATCCATCCGATGATAAGCGTCACTTAAGACAATGGCGGTCACAGATAGTCATTTCTAAGGTCGAAGATTGGAATGAATCGATGAGTAGTGATTATTTTTAGTCGTTATTAGGAAGACGCTGCTGCCCATCTGATTAGTTTCCCTCTGTCACCTCTTACGACACCCACGGGATGATATGGGTTAGTGGATATTCTTACACCACCACTATACGACCACCGACTCCAGAATTTGAAATTATTTATTCCTTTTAGTTGTTTCAAGTCGGCTTCTATTTTTATCAAAAGTTAATATTTTGCTATGACGTTCGGTGATAACGTACTGAAGTGTCCTGAGGAGCGACCGTACGTCCTTTTAAATACTCTCTGTGCAGACCTTTACTCTTCGACCACAACACAGAAAAGGGGGCTCTAATACAAATTAAATTAAAAAAATGCAGATGATTCTAAAGACATATGTTTTTTTTAAATGATTTTTTTTTGTTGACTTTTTACTCAGCGTAGTTTCACTATCACACTATTATGATTAGCCAGTAAACAGTCCACAGCTGGGCATTGGCGACAATGAGAGAGCATTGTAGGTACGATTTTCCGTAAACATTGAGTCATCCAACTCAACACAACGCCCGAGGCGGCATGTGGACCGCTCATTTTCGGACCGGCGGTCGCGGGTCGCGGGGAGTCAGTCACTATGCCCGGCATCGCACAATCCACTCAACTGCATTTTAATTTAATGCTTCCTCTACATTACACGCGAAGTAACTTCGACGAAGTGCTCGTCGAAGTCGATCGCAGTCCGAAGAACGTGACCACACACTCGTGCTACTTCGCGAAAAGCTCAGTCGTCTTGAGTCTCCCGCACCGTTAACATGAAAGACGTTCAAGAGGCAGCTGCTGTAGGTACCTAATTGTGTGAACAGTACGACGTCAATGCGGTAACTAAAAAAATAATTTTGTAGAAAGTTACATATTTAATATTTATATATAATAAAAAAAAATTATTCATAACTGGCGTACGCCGAGTAGTGTAGTGAGACGCTTCGTGTAACTTCGGGGTACTTCGCGAAGTCCTTTGAATCTGGCGCAAAAAACCGACAGCGATCGGAAGTCGCCCTAGGCGAAGCGAGGTTATACGAAGTGAATCGAAGTACCTCTCTACACTATTCGCCTCGTCCAACTTCGATCTACTTCGCGAATAGTGTAGAGGAGGCATAACAAACCGAGCTACGAAATCTATATTGGTCCTTCGAGCCGGATGAACCAGCCGCCACAATGTGTTTACAGTGTATACAAGCTTATTTCGCTTAAAGTTCACGTAACGGCGGACGTCGAAATAGTTAAAACTTCCGCGTCCTTTCGCTCTTAGAAAGTCTATTACTCTCAAAACATAACAAAAACATTTTTGTTCACGACAGCGCGGAGTGTTACTTGTAGTTTAGATGCACATGCACAGTGTTTTAGTGTCACAAAGGAAAGTAAACGGAGAAAAGTTGCAGCAGTGATTCAAGAAAATAATACGTTCTCTGCTAAGCATCCGAGTAAGGTTTGCCCACCATCGTGAGATAAAACATATATACGTAACCATAAAACTTAAGCGGAAAATCGTCTTACGTACACGCTCCGTAACTATAAGCCTGCTGCGTGGGATCGAGATAAGATTTTCTAAGAAAAGACGACGTCAAAGCGTCCGACGAGGCCCTTCCCTTGATGGTGGTATTCTCCTACCAATAACATGATATTGGGATGCCGAGCAATCGGGTTGGGATCCGTATCCTCAGATATGCGACTCTGAGGAACGTGATGAGTTGAAAGAGGACTGAAGTCATCGCGATAGAACTGTGAGTGCTCATGACAGTAAATTACATTACAAATGTAGATTCCTGAACTAAAACCGGATTTTACCAAAAATAGAGTCTGGGATTTCATTTACGTTGCCCCCGCAGCGAAGAGTATTATTAAAAATTATTAAAAAGGCTCCTTTTTGCTTACCTTATTCAAGTTGCATATAACTTTCCTCGCCTCTCTGCAGTCGGGTGGGTTTTGCAGATACTTTAGCCTCCTCTGTATTAGGTCGCTCACGTTAGCTGCCTCATTTTGCCGCCATTCGTGATAACCGTCCAGTTCTGGAAGTTTCTGCTGGTCTGACAGCAGCGATCTAAAAAGGGAACAGTGCTTAGAATTGACTAACAAAAACCTTGTTCAAATGGAATTTTAATTATTGCGAAATTAAACCGCATTGGGCTTAAGTTCATAATATATAGACCTAATAACGTACTAATAAGTGGCGACTGTCTGCTTCGCTGCGGACCGCGATTTCAAACTTTTCAATCCGCACGAATCAAGTATTGGTATGGACCAGAGTGAATGAGAGTACGAAAGCTTCGTACAAGACAAGATACAAGGGTCACGCAACGCACTCACAAAAGCTCGGGGATCACTTACAATAGCAGAGAGAGAGAACAACGCGTTGTTTGCGTCAGCAGTACTAAATATCGCGTCAATATCTCCGCTACTGTAAGTGAACCCCGAACTTGTGTGCGTACTTTGCGGAACGTATAAAGCTTACGCTAGCTTAAACGAATAAAGCTTCCGTACTCTTGTTCACTATGCATAGGATAAAAACAATTATCATGTTTGTTCATGTGCAATTAAAATGTGCAGAACGCCTACACAGTACAGTAGGTTAATGTTTCAAAGAAAATGTTTATTAATTTATAGTATATCTATGATAATATATCGACACGTCTCCGACCCTAGGAAAGTAACTTCTGATTGCATTTATTAGCCTAGAAAGTTTATAGTCAACTTTTTCAATGTTTACATCATTTTCTCCAAGCATATTAATCAATCAGTGACTTGAATGAATAAATTTTGATTTTCAAATTTTATAAAATATACAAGCTGATATATTAATTGCTTAAGATATTGTGTTTTTAATAAAGTATAGATGACAAACGAGCACAGTCCACCTGTTGTTGAAAGGATATTGTGGCCCAAAGCTACCAAATATACATAACTCTTCTAATAATTAATTCTGTTTATTTCGCAAAGTTATCGGTTACTCATTGATTGGCGTGCCTGCATGATGTCTGTGCAATGGATTCGACACACAATTTTACCACAAATTACTGATAGTTACGCCCCATCGTGCAGCGGGACAGCGTGAATGACAACCACTCATCTACCCACGCCGCACGCACGTCAAACGCTCTCTTCCTTTACCCTTTAAATTCAGCTATATCACAGATATCTGCCGCAACTTATCAATAAATGGCTCTATGTGCAGATTAAGGACGATGCCGTGTTATCCTGATTGCACTACGACGAACATCCAAGTCCTATCGCAAGTAATCAAAGTGCAAAATTCTACAAGAGAAAAAATAGTTGCGCAACACTAAAAATCTTTTTATTTTATTGATATGTGAACATAGGAGGATTATAGGGACGCACGCGTCCGGTCCAGTCAGGTTAGTTGAACAGAGTACAGGATAACATATCGTCCGGACCAGACCCGAGCGGTTGGTCTTAGGGACATACCGTACAGCTGTATGTGGTGGCTTGAGAGAAAGGTGCCGTCCGGTCCATGCGTGGTCTAAGGGACGCACGCTTTCGATTATTGTATGATTGAGGATGTTAGTATATTTACAAGAGGGTATGTGTTGCTAAAGTGTATATCTTCTATCGATGCTAATAGTGCTGTGCAAGCTGTATAAAGAGCTGTAAGTCTGTGTGTGCTTATTGGAACGAGACAGTTTCTGTTTCAAAATTTTAGAAGTAATAAAATTTAAAAATAGATACTTTGTTATTTTATTTTATAGGATAGGGTGACAAACGAGCACACAGTCCACATGACATCTACATTTATCCTCAACCAAGAAACAAAATGCAGGTGCGTCGTCACCCGTAAGGACTATGATGGAATGCCTCTTTTCCAGTAAAATGGGTTTCCGGTTCTCTACACCCACCATATGAAACACAGCAGCGTTCAGCTGTTATTTTACGCTGGTATTCTGTGAGAGCGTGGTCCTTCCCCGGCCGAGCCGACCCATTCGTGCTACAACTATACTACTAATATAGCTGCGGCATGGCTCTACCACGTACACGTTATACAATATAGATTATAAATAATACTTATTGAAAGTCTTATGTTTAATATTACCACTGGTTCGGAAAATACCTCTGTCCTAGAAAGATCCAGCAAGAAACCCAGCCGTAATTTCTTTTTTATTTTGGATAAAAGAACAGTTTACAAAAATGTTACATTTTAACAACACAAATCTAATTAGAAATAACTCGGTAGCGATCACCTCATACCCAGGGTTTATTAACTCCTTAATATTATAATGACCCTTTTTATACAATCCTCTTTTAAGAGTATTTAAACTTGACGGAAGTCAGTTTTGTATTTTTTCTGGAATTTGTTGTAAAAGCGCCTAAAAAATGAATTACTGATTCTATGGAGTCGAAAAACTGGTACTACTAGCTTGCGGACTACTTAGTATTTACAGTGAAGATCACTTATTTTCTATAACTACTCATATTTTTGTCCTACATTCATTACATTTTTGTATTGTGAGAGGAGGTCTAGAGTAATGACAAAAAAACTTATTAGAAATGAATATATTTCATTTCTAATAAGTAATAAAATTTTGTCATTACTCTTGTATCAGAATAATTAGTACATTTTATAATAATTCTAGTTTAATTTTGTTGTTCATAATGTTGCAAGCAAATTAACACCATGTAAGTTTTTATACTGTGCTTATAGCTACTGCGTGCGTAGTATCATATTATCCTTGAATCGGCCATCCTAATGATCGTTTTACTAAATCATGACACGTGCTTCAACGCCTGCACCTACCAAACGCACCAACGTCATGCAGCCAGACCGGCTCCATTCCATTCACATAAGTGATTTACACGCTGCTGATACTAAATCAGTCATCCTAACGACAGTTAAGTCTATCCGTTGTCGCCTCTTATACTATTTAGGAAATGGATTCCTTATTAAAGTTGACGACTGCGTCGTAGATGCGCACTAAATAATCGACCGAGTGCGAGTTTGTACCATTGTAATACACGTTTATAGTAGGGGAGACCCCTTTAATTTTTAATTTATTTTTATTCTTTTTTGTTATAGCGGCAACAGAAATACATATTCTGTGAAAATTTCAACTGCCTACCTATTACAGATCATGAGATATAGCCCTCTGACACACATAAGTACGGACTACGGAGGCTTAGTAATAGGATCCCGTTGGTTACCCTTCGGGTACGAAACCCTAAAAAAGGAAGGGAAAAGAACGAAATGAGGGTAATTATGTTTGTATTGCATTTGATGATGTTTGTACGCATTTTGATCACAATCATGGCTGTATGCTGTGAAATTAGTAGAATTTCGACCAACAGCGATACTGGAAACACTTAGTATAGTAGTGATAAGATAACCGAACCCACTCTAAACTAAAATATATGATCAACATCGCTACAGATTATTAATATAATATGTATATACGAAAATCCGGTTAATATGGGGAACGAACGAGCCGTGACCAGCAACATAAATGTTAAGATAAAATGTAATAATAATTGAATGGATTATTTTAGACGATCATGTCATACATAAGCTACCTGACGATCTGATAGTCGCTCGTATTGAGTTCGAATTCATTCAGTATTTTGGTAGACAGGTACATCCGACCATTGACCTTCAAAAATTAAAATTAATGAAAAGCTATGAAATTTCTTATTTTCATTCATTCATTAATTTAAGCCAGACAATGTCACATACAAATATAGGCTTCCCCAAAGATTTGTCTCAGTAGGGGAATATTTGCCATAGTTGCCACGCTTGGCAGGCGGGTTGGCAACCGCAGTATTTTTTATTTTTAGCTGTTATTAGGAAGTCGCTGCTGCCCATCTTCTGGTTTGTTTCCCTCTATCGCCTCTTTTTATTTCTTTTATCCTTATGTTAATAAATGTTTTAAGGTGTTCTTAACGCATGATTACAAAGTGATAATTGTACAAACCACAAATGAGGCGTATTAATAAATACACGCCATTTGCCGGCGTTATCTCGAATGAGATAACAAAGCACTAGCAACTATAATATTATTTTAGATACGCGGTTTTTTGTAATCGTAAAATAGAAAGATCTGGCAGAGAAAATCTCGACGATATCAAAATTTGAGTCTAGACCAAATGTTACATAAATTTTGACTTTACACACATAAGCTCGAGATTGTCTTTGACTAATGGTTATAGTCATCTTGTACATAAAAGTTTAACAATCTATGTAGCAGTGGGTGGTATATATTTACGACCCACTGCTGGACCCATACTGATTTGTCATAAAGTCTGCCGCGCTGCCCTAATGCATATTGTCGGACTTTACAAATCGCGGAAAACGTGTTTTTATTTTAAATTTCTAAAACATGCAGCTTTTCTATTCACCTCGACCGCCAAGTACGTGGTTAATAAGCACTTAAAATTGCAAGTAGTAAATTCAATGTTTGCGCGCGTTCTATGAAGCCACACGCCAACACGGCTCAATTTCATGAAACTGTTGCCCAAATACTCGAACGCTACCTAATTTTATGACGCCGTTAAGTCTCGTCCTGTCTCTATCACTTTATGTCAAAGTGACTGTGAGAACACGAGACTTAACGATGTCTTCAAATTGAGCAACGTTTGAGTATTTGGGTATATTATATAACTCTATACGTATATAATCATTAGAATCCTGCGGAAGACTGCACTGCAGGACATGGCCCTATTTCCCAACGTGCACCACTTAGCCGCATCCTCGGCTTCACACATGCAGTCACTGCCAGCCGTCTTGCTTGAATCGTTTCTCCATCTAGCCAGGGGGCGTCCCACATTGCGTGTCCCTAAGCGCGATCTCTACTCCAGCGGTTATCACATCTGCGACAGATATGACCAGCCCATTGCCACTGACCTTGGTTCTTCCGCAGAGTTATTCATCATCATCATCATCATCATAAACCCGCAAAATTCCACTGCTAGACATGGACCTCTCGTTACAAGTAGGATTTGCCTTCATCGTCACTTTCGACAAGCAGATTGATGATTGTAGTACCAGACGTCTCGCACCTTTGATGTTGCTTGTTGGAAGGGACGAAAGTTCACAAGCGACTGTAATAAAAAACCAACCTTTTTCTGTCAGCAACTTGATCTAAAATCGCTTGTATCTTCTCGACCTTGATATCTTCCGTCATAAGTTTGCCCAACTCATGATTTATGTAATACCATATTTCTTTAGTATTGGAGTAGATTCGTCTCCTGAGATTCTCGTACTCCTCGGTCGGACCCTGATCGGAGTCGAACAACGACGGATCCAAATCCTTAAGGTTTCCATTTAGTCTGTAACAAAAATTAAGCATGTATAACTTTTCAAAAATAATAGTGTACTTCATCTGAAACTTGACCTTCACACCTAGTATGTATGATACCAAAACCCTCACCACTACTGCACGTGGTAAAATACTAAATTAATTAAAAAAAAATATATATATATATATATATATATATTTATGGTTTATATATTATGAGAACCGTGGTAGCTCAAGGACTCGGCAATCGCTGTAAATTTTAGAGTACGCGAGCAACCCAGGTTTGATCCCATCCGGCGCCAATGAAATTGTCATGTGAAATTCGACAACATGCATTGGGGCACGGCGGCGACATTTCCTTGCCCTAAAACTCTCTCTCCTGTATACATAGGCTGCAATTTTACTTTACTTCGATATTTTATAAGCGTGGTAGCTTTAGCTTTTTTTTAACCTCTGGTTAAACGCTCGCCGGAAATTTTACACGCGAACAACACGGGTACGACTCCTGACTTTGGATCGACATATTTTATTTATCAGAAATGCAACCTGCATATAAAGACAGGTGACACTGTGAAGTCCGACAAGACGCATTTAGCAGTGCAGTGGACTAATCGCTCCAAAACCTTAGAGTATAATTAAGCAATCTATAATGCGCGCGTATCGTTCATTGCCCATTATACCTACCAAACGTAACCAGATGTTCTATAGATACTGGAGCAGTTGAAGTTGAATAGAGATGCGCCAAAACTGATGCCTATGAGTTATTGTAATTAAATTATTAATTTAATCGCATAAGTATTTGTGAATATTAGGTAGGTCGATAACATAGAATTATTACCCAGTAGAAACGCAGTCTAGTACAAAACAGCGAGCGTTAAAGTGATGCAAGGTCATTATGTTAGTGGGCGCGAGCCGAATGTGCCTACGCTAGTCACACGCACATATACACGCCTTTCAGTGATACCAGTTTCTGGCGTTTGCAATCAAATTGTGCAAATCACTATTTTATTGATTAATTTTAAATAATCGATACAATAAAGATTACGTATTACATACGAAGATGTATTTTATGAGAATATAAAACGGAATAAAATAAACACGATAATGATGGTACTAATATAACTTTATTATACATATTTTAATGGTACAAAAATGCAGATGTAATAAAATTTAAGAATATTATGAAACACAATTAATTTGCTCGAATACATTAAGCACATCCTTCAAAAATTTAATTTTAACCGACTTCAAAAAAGGAGGAGGTTATCAATTCGGTGTATTTTTAAATGTTTCTTACCTCAGAATTCTACAATTTCTAAACCGATTTAGATTTATTTATTTGAAAGGATATATACACAGATTGAGGTAATATACACGCTGAAATTTTAATGGTTGTTTTCCCGAAGTCAAATTATTTTGTCTTGGTAGTACAATAGACTTATTAAAATAAAAATTATTAGGATGCAAAAATGGCAGATTTACAATCGAGAAAAACAAAACTCGATTGCGATCTCAAACTAATAGCAATATCTCGCAAGTAGATCGGGCGTACAGGCTAGCTTATACCGTATTACTATAATAAAGTCTGAATAAAAAAATATTTGCTGGACGTAACGTAGTGTTACGTCTATCGCACGCGCTACCGCGCTGCCGCGCGCTGCCTACACAGTGAAGGGCCACTAATAAATGTTCAGGGCATGAACTCTCTAGCGTAGTGATACGACATAAACTAATCTGGACGCCCGACTAGCTTGTGAGGTATTACTATTGTAAATCTGCCCTTTCTCAATTGTAATATTTTTTATTTTAATAAATTGACTCTACTATCGAGACAGTATAATTTGGCTGCGAGACAACAGCCACTAAAATTTCAGCATGTTTATACGAATTGATCTAGAATCGTCTTAGAAATCAGTGTACATACATATTGATAACCTCTCCTTTTTGGGAGTCGGTTAAAATAGACTATGTTTGGGTCTAAAATAACATCTGGTTAATGTTTGGATGTAAAGTGACATCTGGTTAGTAAAGGCGTTCTTATTAATAATCCCTTGATGTTGTTAATAAAAAAGTTTTTATTCTATACCCTAAAACGTCGACTTAGTCAATAAACAAAGCAATTAAAATAAAGTAGTTGTGTTAAAATGACGTCGACGAATCGCGATTAGCTGATCACTCCGTATTAGTTTTAAGTAGGTACCCATTGTTAATATTATGTTAATACTTAGAGAAGTAGGTATCTAAATATAAACATTTGAGTTTTACACAGAGCGTTGCGATTAAACGTTTTAAACACAAATACAAAATAAATATTTTTAAAAGAAAATTGTGATTTTTTCCCCACAACTAGCAACATTTTTATTATGATAGCTTAGGTAAGTATTTTTTTAGTTTTACGTATTTATAATGAATTAAATATATGAATTTACATGTGAAATGTAAAATCATCACTTCTTTTATGTTTATCATCACTGTTGTGACAATATTTTACAACACAAACGGACATTTTTACAATTTTTCGCGAGCTCTTCTCCGTAAGAGGTGACATTGCGCACTAACGCGTCACTGAGTGAACTTACGCGGTTTCGCGTTAGTTTTACTTGCTTCACTTTCTATGCGCGTACTAGTATTCTATACGTAATAATTCTATGGTCGATAATTATAAGGTTTGTTTTAGGCTGAATAAAACATAGGTACGTTTATGAAACGACGTTTATTAATCATGCACAAAAACCTAATTTACTGCCCCTTAAAAATGATTAACTTATTATATAATTGTAGTTTTGATTGCTTGATCGCAGTTTTACGTACAAGATATTTCAATCTAATGTCAATATATTGTTTAATGACATCCATAAAACGTAAACATTTACACGTAATTATGTAGGTAGGTATTATATATTTTTTAATCTCTTTAAAATAAGTGTAACAATACTTCAAATTTAAGCACTGGTGTTGCACCTAGGGTTGCCAGATGGTCGGGATTCGTCTGGATTCTCCCGACATTTTAAATGATCTCCAGACTCCCGACAAAACTCAAAATCTCCAGACAAACGGCTTCTCGGAAAGTGCTATACAAAATAATAATTTAATATTGCCACGCGCGGTCACATTTTTCTTCGTCATGTCCCGACATCATGGCTATCTCTTTTGCCTACTGTAGACCATTTACTGTATTGTTAGTCTGCTGTAAAGCAGTATTTTATGTTGAATGGGGAAGACGAATGTCGAAAAGAGATATTTAACAAAAAGTAAAAGCCATATTGATAATAATAGTGATAGGGTTGACGAATGCAAACAAGAAGGGGATTTCAGAAGCGTATTTATACTCTGTACTTTGTAACGTAATCTTGGAGTTACAAGTAGCAATTTTAACATTGGAAAGTGCTCCATGCACTGTCCTGGAACTTGACAGTGTAATGAAAAAACTAATGAGTCTTCTCAAAAACAGGTTGGATGACAAATTCTTAGGTAGTAGAAAATAACCTTATAAAGGAATGTTTCTGAATGTTTCCAATAGTGAGAAACCCTTTTTTGCGTCAAAGCTGAATATTTTTAAAACGAGCTATTGAATACTTTTCTGAGAACTCTATATAAAAAGTCGCTGTATTGTCTTTACAAGGTTCTAATTTATTTACGTGGGAAGAGTTATCCGTATTGCCTGACGTACTTAATATTTTAAACGATATTGACTTTGAAACACTTGAACTTCTTCCAAAAAACTAGGACATGTAAAATGACAAAATTTGGAAATTTTTTTTAATTTTAGCAAAACGTCCTAAAACTTGAAAAATAATATATTATTTGTGTTGCCGATTCCTATAAGCAATGCATACTGTAAATGGGTGTTTGGTTTGCTATATAATTTATATACCAAAGAGAGGAATCTTTAGTAATTGAATTGTACTTATTTCAAGTAAATTGTTTGAATTTTAAATCATTTCTGAATACTACTAAACGACCTAAAGTGGGGGACTCAGTAAAGTCCAATGCCAAATACATGTCACAACCTAAAATTTAAGTGTAATTAAATTGGTTATATGTCAAAAATGTTAAGCCTATTAATTAAAAAAAAATATTTTACGTTATTATTTTTCATATTTATTTCTCCCGACAACAATCCCAAAATCCCGACATTTTCAAATTTTGTCCAGATATTTTGGCCTTCCGATCTGGCAACCCTAGTTGCACCTCCAACCAGCTTGCTTGTAGACTGCCACAGTTTCAAAATAAAGTGGATGAAACAAACGAAATTCCTGATAGTGGGCTCCCAGTTTTATGATAACACCAGCCTTACAATATTATAACAAATACATTTTACAAATAATTTTGGAAAATTCGGACAACAAAAGTTATCCACTATTTGATAAGGATATACTTAATGTGTTGTTAGCAAAAACGTTTAAATCAAATTATAATTGCATTAGAGCCCTCTTACTAAACATGCATAAAAAATTAATGTTATACGTTTTATTCTTACCACCCATTTATTTGCCAATTCACGGCTTTCGGAAATCAGAAATTGGAAAAGTATTTTAACCGAATTTACGTTTAGTATGTACCTATAAAAAAAACTTTTCGAAGAGAGTTTTATTTTAGACATTGATCCATATGGGTTAGGAATACAAAGGATTTTAACTTCAAATACTATAATTATTACGAGAGAAATCATGTTATTAAAAATATCCGAGTACAACGTGGCAAACACTAGCTCTAATTCGGGGAAAACCCGAAGTTCGAGGCGCGAGGCACGTGCCGACTCGTGCACACGCGCACGGGCAAGTGTTTGACACCCTAAGTAACTTTTTTAAAACCAGTGTTTTCTTACAGAAATTATATTACATACCGACGGAAAGAAATATCATTGTTCTTCTTAGTTTCCTTCCATGAATCGTTTTTGCAGCTTGGCACTGCACATTTCACCACGGTAATTTAAAACTCATAAATACCGTTGGGAGAAATAATTTACGCGCGTGACCTCTCGTGACTAAAGTCACCCTTGCAATTCTGAGACTGTTCACACCCGTGCTTACTGTTCTGACTCGCTAACG